TAGCGACGATCCGCTAAACTGATTTTATCAGCGTTTATATCAAACACTAATTATGGTCTTCAAAATTCTCAAAGCGTTTGTTTGAGAATAAATATCAGAACTGTAAAATGTTCGGATTATTTCAATTTTATCCAATGTAATAGATCCTGACCTGTCATCTTGTCTACAGTCACTTTCTCACAGGTGTGATGTGGCTGTCCTCTGGCTTTTCTACAAATACTTACATGGCAATTGCTCTGACGATCTACTTTCACTGGTACCTCAACTGCATGAATTTAAGCGTGCTACCAGGTTGGCATCTCCGTCCCACCCTTTCATTGTCGAAACAGTTAAATGTAACCGCCTCTTCTACTTCAACAGCTTCTACTCAAGCACTTCCCCACTGTGGAACTCCCTTCCTCTTACTTGCTTCCCTGGCAGCTATAATCTTCAAATATTTAATTGTAATGTCAATCGACATCTTCTGACGCCTTGATCTTGATCCTCGTCCTTCTCTATATCCTTTCCTCAAACACCCCTCTTTAGTCTTGCTCCTAGTCTCTCCCTTGCGTGCTATTGGCACTAACGCCTTACTTGGAGTGAAATGCTTACAAATAACAAAACAAAAAAATAGCGAGAATCCACTGAACTGATTTTATCAGCGTTTATATCAAACGCTGATTATGGTTTTCTAAATTCTCAAAACGTTTTTTTGAGATTAAATATCAGAATAGGTTTAGTTTGGATAACTGAAAAATGTTCGGATTATTTCAATTTTCTCTTCATTTCACGCTATCGACAACATATGTATTTTTATTTTATCGGACATCTTCGCGCATACTTTAATGGTCTCTCTCTTATCAGTGGGAGGTGTGGAAGGTGTGTCTCGTGTTGGTTCAATTCTACTGAATTTCGTCTCGTTAAATCTAGGTTCGATTCTCCTTGGAATTGTCTCAAAAACATGATTTTTCAACGCATTTCGTTTTTAATTTTCTTCTCAACTTTTGAATCCATCAATTTCAACAATTATCATCCATTTAGTAGACTCTCTCCTATTCCTTCTTTCTTTCTTGTTTTTATTTTTTTTTTTTTTATTTATTTATTTATTTTGATCAACTTCCGAAGATCTCGGTGTCACAACATCACCTTACCCAGTTGTAATCGATACCCATCCTCCACCTTCCGTTTTGGTGAAACTAAAAGTTTTCATGCACAAAAATTCCACTAAACATGCACTGGAAATAAAAATTCTTCCTTTTCTGTTATTATGCGCCTGGATATCTCTGTCCATTTTGGTTATATATACGTATTTTCTTTAATCATTAATTGGAGTTCGCATCACCCCTTACAAATTAATTCATCCACAAGTTTCTACTAATCATGCAGTAGAAATTTTTGAAAAAGGCTTCTTTTTCTGTTATCATTCACCTGGATGTCTCTGTACATTTTGTTCATATATAAATATTTTTTCTTTAATCTTTAAGTGGCGTTCGCATCACCCTTAAAAATTAATTCATTAGTTTCCATGTTTTTTTTTTCATAGCTTATCTTATTCAGTTTTTCTTTCCAGTAGAGTTTTAATTTTCCTCCAGCGAGCTTAAATTTCTCTTCGGTAGGTAATGATTCCATTTTCAGTTCGATCATTGAATCTCTCTCGGTCAAATTTGACCTGCTTTGGTAAAGAACACTGAATGGTGTTCCTATCTCGCCTTCATACACACCTGCCGGTACACTTCGTTTGATTACTATCTTCTTATGCCTTCTCAGTATCAATAGTACTCAGATAAACATGGCTACAGCTGTCAATTTTTCTCAACGTAGCTGACCAGTCTATTATGGTCCCAGAATTATCTCCCCAAACTGAGTTCGTCTCTCCTATTGTATTTAATTTATCTTTCAACTGTTCAAAATTAATTTTCTCCACGGGCTTTAATAGTTCTGGCATATTCTTTAATACTACCTCAGGGGATTTCTTTAGCATAGGTTCCCATAATTCCGTCCAATTGATTTAACAGGATTATTAGAGACTGACCAGTCTGTTGCACCTTGTTAATAATTGTCATTAATTGAAAATATTGCTAAACGAAATTATTGAATTCTTGGAATTCAGTCGTTATAGTCTGTGTCACATTAGCTACCTCTTCTCTCCTTGCCTGCATATTACTCATTAACCGGTTTATATTTCCTTATTTCTCTTGATATTTAGACTCTATTTTCTTCTTAATACTCATCAAATTTTCTAAGTTAAACTCAATCAGTTATGTGCCATGCGTGACACACGATTAGGCGATCATGTAACTTTCGATACATGACTCATGAGGCAGATTTTTCCCCAGCAGTAGGTTGCCATTTCTTTTTGTGGTAGACCAGTTGCCATCCAAGTGTATAGAATCCGGTCTGTCCTGCTATTTACCGACAGATGCGGGGAGAAGATTCATATCTTTCCCAAGGGTATTAGCATGTAAGTGAATGTAATGGATTCGACTGGAATTCGAACTCGGCTCTACGATTCCTCAGTCCCAGCCGCTATCCATTACTCCACCGTTCCTGAGAATTTAGCTTTCACAGCGATCGCCAGCACCACACTCTTCGTCAACGTTTCTCAACTCTTCTTTCATAGGAAATTCATATTCATAATAGTTCAGGTAATGACTCTCCACAGCGACCGCCAGTACCACACACCAACTCTTCGTTGACGTTTCTATATTCTTCTGTCATAGGAGATTCATAATCATCGTTCAGGTAATGACCCTTTCGTCGACTTTTCTCAATTCTATTGTTAGGGGTAATTGTTCCTCTTTCTTTTTTTCTCTTCTGACGTTTATTTTCCCCTTTTAATTCTTCTAACATTATCTCATAATCCAAATCCTGTTCTACTGAATCTCTTTCAAATGATCACTCATCTCCTTATTGTTTAATTAGCGTCGCATTCTCCTGTCTGGGAGTAAGCAATAACCTGAAATAACTCTCCTCATCCATAGGTAACTGTTTTCTATCTTTCCACCTGTACTTTGTGCCTGCTCTATCTCGCTTCCCATCTCCTTCGATAACACATCATAAGCTTTTAAATCGATCATAAAGGTGATCATCCATCTAGATCTGTGATATTTATTTTGCCGGTCCTCTCAAAATATCATGTTCTACGCAAGTTCCAGCGTTTCTGCTTTAAGTAAAAGGTAAGTATTACCTTTATAAAAATACCTAATCTTTAATTTGGGTTACCTCCAAATAAACACGATAGGGTTTAAAATGAATCTGAAAATTTGATAAATTCTTCTTGAAGCTTTTACTTCAACTCCAATATAATTTTGTATTTCCATGAAATTCATAAAATGCAAAAACATTAACGAGTTTCTTTCACTAAAATTTACCCGTCATTATAATCTCTATTCATCTCTTCCTAAAATCTTCGCACTCCAACATGTGTCACAGGATAAGGCAAAGCTCTTCGCCTCGATCTTTGCCTCGAATTCAACGTTAGAAAGCAAAGGCCATTCTCTTCCCAATTTCCTACGTCTCACTGAGCACAATATCAGTGATATTTTCATTATAGCCCGAGAAGTTTCAAGACTTATCAAAATCCGTGACCCTAAGAAAATCCCAGTCATTGTCTTCTTCAAGAATATCAACCTAGAACTATCCCCGGTCCTAGCGAAGTTATTTAAACGCTGCTTGAAGGGAAAATCTTTCTCAGCCTTTACAAGAACGCGGGCGAACGCTCATCCTCCTCTCAGTATAGATCCATCAGTCTCCTCAGTATCATTAGCAAGATTTTTGAGGCCTTAATCAACAAGAAGGTTGTTGAGCACGATAATAAGAACAGTATGTTGACGACAAGCACTACGAGTTTCAATCTACCCGATCCACTGCTAAATCCATGTCCTAAATAACATTACTCACAGATCACGATCCATGTCCTAAATACCATTACTCACAGAATCAGTAAGGCATTAGACAACAAAGGACCATAGCATTAGATATTTTGAAGGCCTTTGACAAGGTATAGCACAAAGGATTGCTGCTCAAGCTCTCTGGCTATGAAATCACTGGAAGTGTCTTCTTAATAATAAAGTACTTCCTAACGAATATGTCCTTGGAGGTAGTCACGCGGGGCCATAGTAATCTACGCAGGCGTCCCCCACCCAGGAGTCACTTCTCAGACCAAACCTCAAACCTCTTTTTCCATTAACATAAATGATCATCCTATTAGTATACTCAGATCATTTGTGAATATGTATACCGATGACACAACGATATATGGGTGCACATCCAAAACTCGTCATGACCAGAGATTGGGAACTGATCTCTTATCTGATCTAGCTCTAACATCACAGTGGGGGAAAACTGGTTGGTTACATTCAACACCTCGAAAACCAAGTTGGTTTCACTCCATCATTAGCGACTATTGCGTCATAAACTCATCTCGGACCATAAGTGGTACATACAGCCCATCGCTAAAGATCACTTTCCAGTCTCGATAGAGTCCAAAAACGTAACTCCGCGTCCTTGTGGGTGACAAATTTTTATTAGCCCTGTAACTCCCCTCTCATAAACGGAATGTGGCAAGCCTCTCACTGCTCTATCGCTACTTCCATGGAAAATTCTCGGGCGAGCTACATTCCTTGGTTCCACCAGTTCTAACCTTTACGGCTAATATGAAGTCCTTGCGCACATCTATCTATCTAATTGGTGCCAACAATGAAAAAGAAAATATGAGTAGCGCTGTTATTTTATCATTGAGTACTGTTTTTTAGTGTTACTGTTTGAGTTTGTGTTTTAGTTTTATTATCCCCAGTAACACACTTGTGCGCTATTCAAGTTTTTTGCCGAAATTAATATAATGGAATCAATAAATTTAACAACAAATGAAAGATTCAAAAGTATTTTTACTATAATCTAATATAAAATAAGAATAAAAAATCGAATTCTTCAAGTAAAATTAGAGAAAAATGCACACAAATAAAAAAAAAATCTTGCAAGGGAGATAATTTCTGTCAAAATTTCCGGTAAAGAGCAGCAAAATGGCGAACAGGTTGATTCGGATGAATCTATTGAGACAGTTTTTTTCTAGTTTACCTCAATGGCAAAAAATTCCGTGTAAGTGTTTTTCGCTTTATTTTGTTTTTTTAATTAGATCCTAAAATTTTATGAATATGTTTTGGTTTATTTACCCTTTTGAGATGGTACAAATTAATAAAATCTTATCATAAATTCTTTCGTTAAGTAAGTTGATGTTGAAATTGAAGGTCATCAGATAAATTCTAGTTTCCATTAAGAGTAAAAAGTCACATTTTTTTAAATTTACTATTTTAGATAAATATTTAGACTTTTAGAAAGCATCTGAACATGATTTTTTTGTTATTAAATATTGAAATAATTTTGAAGTCACTTTAAAAAGAAATAATTTGAAAAAAATATAAAGTCATAGAAAGATTCTTTTAAAAATAAAAAATAAAAAAAGAAACTTTTAATAAAATTAAAGACTTTTTGTTTAAGTCAAATAAATAAAAGTAATTTTTAAAATGGGTGAAATGATTCATTAAACATTAACAAGTACGTAAAACGATTTTTACAATTGCTTGAAAGGTAACTTTTCAAAGTTTTTTTCACCTTATTTCACAGCAGAATGCGCCATGCAAGCATGTTATTGTTGACAGTGTTTATTTATTTTATTATGGAGGTGCTATTAAGTTTTCAGTTTAAGTATTTCAAACGATTTCTACATACATTTATGTCCCTTACATTCCACACACGTTTTTTGAACTAGCCTCATATTCTGAATTACTACCCAATTTGGATTTGAAAATTCATGCATCAAATTATTAAAAAAAAAAATTTTAAAATAACAAAATAGCATCCGAAATACAATAATTTATTTTCAACTATTTTTTTTTTCACTATGCAAAAGCTAAAAAGGGAAATTTAATTTAATCTGTGAAGAAAAATAAACACATGTTTATTTCAATTTACATGGAAAAATGTTTTATTTCGGATATTTGACTTTTCAAATCTAAGAACTTAAAAATGATAACATGTTTTGTTATAGGAAATATTTGAAACGCTAAACTTAGTTTTCTGTCAAAAATCAAAATCGTAATTTTTTCTTATGTTTAGTTTACGTTTTTATTTTATGTGTTTTTAAAATTTACAAGCAAGTTATAAAATAATTGAACGCTTCTTCAATCTTCATAATTTCTTGTAATAATTGTACATGTGATTTTTTTTTTTTTCATTTAATTATTTACTTGTTTTTCATGATCTCAAAATTTAATTCGATAGCAAGAAGAAGCAGGTTTAAATATTTATTAAGTTATTACTCTAAATAAATTTTGTACAACAAACACTGAATTATCTGGCTATGATTTTGTGCTGTTTCCATAAAGATGATACACTTTATATCCACAAAAAAGTGTCCTTGGTGAGTAATTAATAACAGTTAAACCCCATCATTCAACAAGTCTAAAGCAAGGCTCAATATGAGGCTAGGGGAAAAAAAACATAAGGGAAGTAATTCAGTGTTTGTTATGCAGAAATGATTTAGTATTGCAAAGAGAGAGAGAGAGAGTTGGGATGCTGAAGGTAACATCAATCATCTAAGTGACAAACCTTTTTTTCTTTGATGAATAAAAACAAAAGGAATACTTAGCAGACATATTTCGTTCTCTTAGGGACTTTATCAAGGTAAATGTAAGGATTTTATTTTGTGACAAGTATTTATGTACAAGAGCAAAAACTTTTTTCTTTTTTTTAATTTTTATAGGAGTGTTCATTAATAACCATGAAAATGACCAATAACATTTTTGCTTTTGTACATAAATACTTGTCACAATAAAATCTTTACATTTCTCTTGATAAAGTCCCTCAGAGGACGAAATGAGTCGGCTAAGATAAATTTTCCTTTTGTCTTCATTCATATTGTCCTTTTATGGATATACTCTATCTGAAATTTTTACACACACATACACATGAAATATTGCATATTTGGGCATTGTGCCCTCTAGGCATTCTCAAGTGCTGGTCAATCTGGATTACCTTTAGGGAATTTCAAACTGAACCCTTTATTTTAAACTATGGGGTTGTTCTTGTTCTGCTGTCGATATGTTATCAATTCTTATTTTAGTAATGTTCCGTTATTTCTCATCTCATTTCCACTGAGTCTAAGGACACACTACATCCATCCACTCCTTACAGTAAATAGGTACAATTCTGACCTTATGTTCCATACCTAATGAAGGCCAGTGGGTGCAACAACTGAAACATTGTGATAATAAAAACAAAGATATGGACAATATTCCACATGTAATTAATGTAAATAATAGTAAGCATGTTTGGAACTGTTTCCAAAACACCAGAATGAAGATTGTTTGAGTTAGAAATCAGAAGCGTTGAGACTGTAACAGATAAATAAAAAACACCTAGATTGAGCCATTAGTACAAAAACTAAAAACATTTTACAAGCTTCTTACAAATTCATTTTGAACCTTGGGGAAAATGATTTTTGAGAAACCTTAAAAAAAATTATCATTTTTGTGTACACTTGACCTCACAGGATTAGCAACTTTAATTTTTCATAATTTTCACTAGAATACATAGAATATTTCATATAGTATATATAAATTATAGTTTTTTTATTTTGTTTTTTAAAATGATGTTCACTCTGTACAAGACCCAAGAGCCACTCGAGGTAGAGGGTTACAATAAGAGGTACATTTTATGTGAATATGTAGGGAAGATGACAGTTAACCGTATACTTGAACAGGTTAAGATTTTAGTGATTGGGGAAGCTTCCTCTTAGGAGTTGGTTCCACAAAGCAGTGGTTTGTGGGAAGAAGCTGCTTAACTTACATTTCACTAATGGAATATGAAAAGAATGAAAGTGGTTGGCTACAATGTGTGTGGCATAGCAGGTCTTAGCTGTAAACATTAGAACTGGTGGAACTAAGGAATGTGGTTCATCCAAACACTTTCCACAAAAATAGCAATAGAGTAGCAAGAAGCTTGCAACATTTCAGCCATAAAAAAGAGGTTGTAGAGTGGAAAATAATTTGGAGATGCTTTTGAATTTTATCAAGGTTGGAAAGTGAAGACTGTGTATCTCCATTTTCAGCCTGATCTGGCTCTTGTAGAAGATAGCAGGAGGAGTCAGGTACTTGCTGGAGCAGTACAGGGAACCGACCATTTATCCAGCATCTTCATCAATGGATTGTATGTACAAGTTATACTTGAGGTCTGGAATTAGTTTAAGACCCAACAGATGCTCGGGACATGGGGGTGGGGCACCCTGAGGGAACATCTGTTAGAATTTTACCAGATTTTCCAAATTTCACATTTCTAGCTAGATTCCAGAAACCTTGTCATTAAAAATTATAATTACAGAACATTCATCAAGTTTACAGTGACTTAGGTTTTGAACAAAACATTGAAAACTGTGTCACTTTAAAATAAAAATATAGAGATGTGTATGTTCCCTGAAACTAGTCTTAAAAGTTATTTATTCATTTTCTGAACTGTTGGTATTTCTTTATATGAAACTGACTGCACAGTGTCCAGAATAGCATTCCAAATTACAACTTTGCTGGAAAATTTGTGTCTGTCAATGTAAAATCTTCAGAATGATTCAAGTGTGTTCAATTGGACTAATGTCAGACAAATTAGTCATTTCATCAAGCATCTTTTAAACATATTTTATTCAGAAATTCTTTATTTTCATAGACAACCATTTTTTTTTCTGAAAGTGTTTGGTCTCTTGAACCATGGCTCCATGTGTGTCTTCAGAAAATAAAACTCTTGAGCTGTTGTTAACACTAGCTGAAATTCACCACAGGCCTACCACTTATAATCCCACCTCAAACATTACATGCCATATCTACCTTGGTGACATTTCAACCTGTGTGAGCAGTTTCCATCAGTAGTCTCCCAGCCTTATGCACCATTAATCTGGCCTATTAAGGGCGTTTATTAGTGAAAAAAATGGTTGGAGTATTATTTTTATATACAGTGTAACCCGGATATAAGAGAAACCTGGATATAAGAGAGATTTTCTCTGGTCCCGTCCTCCCCGATATAAGAGAGTTCGGTTTTGAGTGACAGTGTGATGTCATAAATCGGTCAAACAGAGGTCAGTTAGAGAGTGAAGTTCAATGACTTAATCTTGACTAGTCTAGAGACATGGTGTGTCCAATCTGTGTCTGTAGGAGACACCTCTACCTTATGATTTTGCTTTGTGTGTCTAAGGGTAGCGCCACCCACTTTTTTGCCGACTTTGCTTGTCGTTGCATTTACTGGATAGCACTTTCACTTTACCCACTGTTCTGTTGAGTCAGAAGTTTGTCTGTCTGTTAATTTTGCCACTGAAAACTGTTTACTTGCAATCATTGCGATTAGTGATGTCGGCATCGGCGTCTCAATGAGAAACTCTGAGCATTTCTGAACAGTTGGAGCTCATCGACGATGTCAAAGTGAAGAAACTCAAACTGCCCGCTGCAACCAAAAAGTACAGAATCAGTTATTCAACAGCAGCAAAAATTCTCAAGAAAGAAGACGATCTCGGATCTTGCATACAAATGAATGGAAACACTAATCGCAAACGAAAGCGCCAATCCGTGCACAAGGACGTTAACAAAGCGCTTACACAATGGTTTACGCAAGCATGTGCTCATGGAGCTACCGTCACTGATCACATCATCAGGCAGAAAGCATCACAACTGGCCGTAAATCTTGAAGTTGATTTTGAACCGAGCAATGGCTGGCTCATGCGCTGGAAGCAGGCCAATAATGTTTCATTCAAAAAATTTCACGGTCAGCAGATCATGGTTCTGCCAACGAATGGGTGACAAACATTTTGCCGCAACTTTTTCGTGGATATGATCCAAAAGATGTTTGGAACTACTGTGGTGAAACGGGAATTTTCTACAAAGCCATACCGTCTGGATGTTTGCAATTTGCCAGCGACGAACAGTCAAATGGGACAAAAGTTCCCAAAGACAGACTCACGATGATTCAGTTCACAAACATGGACGGCAGTGAAAAGCAAGCTGTAGTTGTTGGTAAGTCGGCAAAACCACACTGCTTTAAAAATGTCAAAACTCTGCCATTTTCTTACTTCACTAATCGTAAAGCCTGGATGACTAGTCAGCTGTTTACTGACGTTATGAAAACGCTTGATCGAAAAATGATTGCTCAAAATAGAAAGATTATTCTGTTTTTGGACAATGCAACTCGTCATAACTTATTGCCGGGTACAAATCTGTCAAACATCAAATTGTCGCTCATGCCACCAAACACCACCAGTCTCATTCAACCTTTGGATCAAGGCATCAGTCATTCATTCAAAGCGTATTATCATCAGGAACTTGTTTGAATGCAAATCGCAGCGATCGATGCTATACCGCCAGTGTCGCTGTCCGAGGTGGCCAAGCAGATAACTGTTTTGAAGGCCATGCACACGATGAAGCGAACACTTTTCATGGTCAAACTGTCAACAATTCAAAATTGTTTTAAAAAGGCCAGCTTTGTCATTGAATCACAGGCTGAAGTGGAAGAAATACTCAACGAAAATGATCAAGTTTCTCCACCATCAGGCATGGAGCAAACAGATTTTGACAAATTTATCAGCTTCGACGACCGTACACAATGTTATGGAGAACTGACTGACACGGACATCACACATGGTATAAAATCGGATGATCAAGATTTTGACGAAGATGATGATGCTGAAAGCGTAAGTTCTGAAGTTTCTGAAAGTGACAAACCAGTGCCAAATTTTCTGGCTGCATTGAATGCGCTTTGAAACTCTGACAGCCTACTTTGAAGCAAAAAGCAGTAATCCTGATGGCACATTGAAAATGATTTACGGACTGTATGAAAGTGTTCATGATGTTAACAAAGAGATTTCTGTACAATCAAAAATGACTGACTTTTTTAAGAAAAAGTAATTTTTGATTGAATTATTTTGAAAACTGATTGAAAATGTATTTTTGTCTGTGATTTTTATGTCTATAACTGTTAAATAAACTAGTGTTCTGTACGTAAAAAGCGTTATATGAAGTGTTCCCATACTTACCTAAACAAAATAGAACAAACCCGGATATAAGAGACTTCTTCTCCGGTCCCGACAACTCTCTTATATCCGGGTTACACTGTATATATTATTTTTTTGTCCTATGTGGATCTGTTTTAAAGGAGGCCTTGTGATTGATATCACAGGTTTTGCCATTTATTGTTAAGCTCGACATAGTGATTTTTCAACACTTTTTCATTGCTACACCACCTAAATGTTTCAGTTTGTTTTTTCTTTCTTTTAACATCTCTTGATATCAGCACACTCCTGGCTTGCAATTATCAAACTTGCATCATGGTTGTCTAAGATCTTCAATTAAATTTTTCACTATTATCTGCCAATCATTTTTGCAATCGTATTACTCTTTGCATCTGTTGGTTCAAGCCTTTTTTTCTCATATGAGGAAATTGTTCAGTATTCTCTGCCATATGAGATTACTGATTCTTTTAAAACTCATTTTATTTTTATGAATGTATTAAGCAACAATATTTTCAAAATACCTGTTGCTATTGCCAAGATGTGAAGACTTTAAATCTAAATAGATTATTAAAATATTGGGGAAGTGATTTTCTTTCTGAAAAACAAAATGTGCTTTATATTTGATAAATTCCTTCCTCATCCAAATAATCACATTGAAATGATCCCCACCACAATCTTATTTTTAATGTCTTTTATCTGTATTGTCTATTCCCTTTTGTATAAAAGTTGAATTAATCGTTTATGTAGACTGTATTAAATTGACTGATATTTATCAAACAGGATTTCTTGTTTGAACTATATTTTTTTTTTTATTATCTGTAGGTCATGTGCCTCGCCCAGTTTTACAAGCCAGACTTTTACATCACAATCAACAGTTGTACAGCCAAAGTGTCATTCCGGCACCTGAAAATGACGTTAGTACAGGTGAGAAAAGGCTTTGTAATTTATTGCATTTCACTTTAATAAGCAGGTCCCCATAAACTATTTGATTTGTAGCAACTCTGCTTATTTGGCAGGGAAGTCAAAAAATAAAATAATATCTACAGATACTATTATTATTATTATTAATAATCAATTAATATAATTTTATATGCTAATTTAGTATTTTATATCAGCATAGAAATATTTGTTTTGGATGAACAACAATCTCACATTTCTTGTTTTACAAAAAATAAACAACTATTACAGTTGCATAGAAGACGGATTGCTGCTTATATAAGTTTATTATTTTGACAATATTTCTAACACTTAATTCTTATGCAGTGTATGGCCATATCACATTGAAATATCAGTGATGTAATGGAGAGCTGCATTCCAGTTGGATTTGTTATATTCACTTATGCATAATCACACTTGCGAAAAGTGTGAATCCACCTCTTCTCCCAGCTATGGATTAATTAAGTATGACTTGGATCAGTAAAATCATTATTAATTCCATAAAATTTGTACAATCTAAAAATATTTTCTGCATTAAATAACCTGCAAAAGGTTGATAAGTGAGCGAAATAAAGGGTTTAGTTCAACATTCCAACCACCTGAAGAAGATTGGAGTGTACAACGGCCAAAACGTTGTAATAAATATGGCGACAAAGATGAGGACAATAGTCCGAATAATGTAAATAATACCTCATCTCAGAAATATAGACAGATTTAAATAGTGTCTACAACTTTGAGAAAAGTCAATAGTGTTTGGGTGAATGTACAATTATGTATGTCTAAAGTTGTTCTTCCTTCAGAGTAAATTTCTTCTAATTTATTATTACTATCATAATGATTCTAGCAAAAATGTCAGATTTGTGCAAAAGATTCAAAGGATTTGTCAATGTCTTACATTTCCACCTAACCCTAAGAGAACAACAAAAACAACAAAAAAAAACCCTCATGTCATAGGCAGTTTATGTGTTCATCTTGTTTACACTTTCTTTGGTGTTGCTATGAATTTCAGGGCCTGTTTTTTTTTTTTTGGAAAGGGTAAGGTTTTATCTTATACAGTTTCCTACTTTTATTGGTTGGACAAAAACATTTGGTGAATTTTTTATCCATTTTTAGTTTTCTTTAGAATCCATCTATGTTGTTCTGGAATTTTGTCTCATTGTGTTCCTCAAAATTATCCAATTTATTTGTGTTGTGCAGGATAGTACTTTCTACAGTTTCAACGCTGTAATTATTAAGGAAATACTGAGATCACTCCTTTTTATTTTATTAACACAATGACACAAGATGATTGCTAATATACCAAGAGTTTATTCCAACAATGCATGTAAAACTGGTGATTCTGATTTACACAGAAGCATCCCCCCCACACCATATTGAAATCTATACAGGCCTAACTTGCAAAACTTACCACTCTTCTAACGTAGAATACTTTTTTCAATTTTCCCCACTCTCCAGTTATGTCCTCTCCTATCCACTATCTGAACCTTATCTCCAAGATGATGATGCATGTCCTCTCTTTGAATATGGTTTACCATAGAAAACATTTCTAGGTCCCTTTTGAATATGGCTTTCTTGTGTTCCTCAAGTCCGACTTCCAAGTCAGCAGTTTGTTTTTGCTTCATATTCTTCTTTACATTGTTTATTGAAAATCACCCTGATTTAGTAACATTCACCCATATCACTTACATATTGTATACTGGCTGTAATTATATAGACAATTACAACTGATATATATATATATATATATATATATATATATATGGGCAGCAATTCCACTTCTATGCATGCAAGTGTCATTAAAAATGACTGATAAGGTACTACAGTTAAGCTTTTTATTTAATTTTTTTTGTTATAATTTTCTTCTTTTCTGGACATAAATTATGTATAAATTGTTCAAATTTCTAGATAACATACATAACACAATCCATACATTCAGTTAAAAGTAAGAAATAAAATAAATCATTGATAATGGCTGGAAGTATAGCCAAAAGTGCTCAGACATACAAAACATCTGGACATTTTCTACATAGTTTATGCCTTGAAAAGAAAATAAGAACACAAGAAAAATTAAATAAAAAAAACTTAACCACATTACCCTGTCAGTCATTTTTAATTAAATTTTTGTATATGCATATATGTATACATGATTATTTTCAACATTTGAAATTCATAATCTTTACAGATATTTTTTAATAGAATGATTAATATAAATGTTTACAACTAATTAGATAATGCAAAAAAAAAAATATAATATCTAGTATGTTGTCTTGATCTTTCCAATGTAAATTTCCCACCTCATTAACCACAAGTAAATAAGACCGGTTGACAGTTTTCTTTTTCAACCCAAATTTTGTTGGGTACATGTTTGTTTTTTTTCCATGCTGAATCTGAAAATCAAGTTCATTTTACCCCATCATATCACATTTTCTCAGTACAAAGGCCAAAATGACTAATTCAATGGAATATGCGAGTGACATAATTGAAACATTTTGTTTCATGTTAAAATGATTTATCATCAAAAAAAAGTTCTAAGCTATTTCAGTTAAGATAAGATAACTTGAAAATGCTTGATTTTGTAAGAGATATCTCACTGGAAAATGTTCTTTGTCCTCTGTTCTTAGCTTTGTTAAAACTTTGTGATTTGTGTTTCTTTACTTTTCATAGAAAAAGTTCTTTAAAAGTCATTCAAGAACAGTGATTTTTTTTTAGATTTTCTTAGTTTTAGGCTTAAAGTGAAAACTACTGTCATAAGATTTTATATCACTTAAATTTACAGAGGTCTGATATTGTCATGCAGTCTCTGTATAACATGCATAGGAACATCAATAATTGAGGGTTGTTAGGCGAATGTATTTGAGACTAACAAGATTAGAATTTTCTTTATCAGTGCTTAAAATAGCTGTCAAACACAAGATAGGCATAGCCAACTAGGCAGATGGGATGTTAACATGATGGCTAATTTCTGCTAGAGCATCAAACCTTTTCAAAAGTACCGTGGTTTTCAAGAAGGAAAGATTTATTCCTTTGGATGGACAAAAATGAATGTATTTTTCATTCCTTTGTATCTTTGTTTTGATTCGAAAATTGATGACACATGTTTGCCTTAATTTAATTTTTTTCTGAACTAAAAATGTATTCTTTAAGTTATTGGGATACTTTTTCTTTTATAAGTTATTCTAACCTGAAAACATTTTAAGAAAAATACAAATTATCTGCATGGAGAAACCATGTGATAAGGGGAAAAATGGACTTGATTTTCAGATTCAGCATGAAAAAATAGCTCAGAAACATGTGCACATTGCCCAACAAAAAAAAATAAAATAATGTTGACCGGTGTAATTTAATAAATTTTATTCATCCATTCTTTAGTCATGCTGCATTACTGAATATATTGCATTTAGATTTCAGCTTGTAAAAAGGCTGCTGCAATTGTACAAATGTTATAAATTCAAAGGCAGGCCCTTTTTACTTAAGAGATTGTATCATTGTCTTTATCTCTCTTGCAAACTTGTAAATTCAGCAGTACCTTCTTCCTAATATTTGGATGATTTCTTTTGCAACTTTTACTCAGACCCTCAATCTGCAGCTGTGAGTAACCATTAAAAAGTCTTACCCGAGTTACTCTTCTTCCTGACCTTGTATTATTTTCTTTACTCTGCAATATCTTTTATAAAACAATGTAATTAGTAATGTATTTCTTTATGGAATCATTTCTCAATGCAAAATCCTTAAGAATTAGAAATTACATGACCTAGTTTCTCATTTCAGAATCGCTGGACCTTGAGCAAGCAAGCTTAGCACACCATGATTACTTCAATGTCAGAAATCTAATCAACTTAAAACAACTTTTTACTAACCGGGTCCACTTCGGTCACAAGAAAGGTGTTCGCAATCCTTTCATGGTTCCATACATTTATGGCAACCGTCTTGATGTGGACATAATTGATCTTGACCAGACACTTCCACTGTTTAAAGATGCACTTAACTTTGCTGCCCACATTGCCTATCGTAAAGGCATTATCCTGTTCATGAGTAGAAATCAACAAATGATGCTTCGGATTGAGAAAACAGCCGAAGAGTGTGGAGAATATGCCAACTGTCGTTATTGGGCTGGAGGCGTCTTTACTAATTCCAGTGTAATGTTTGGATCAGTTACAAGACTTCCAGATTTGATCATCTTCATCAGTACATTGAACAATATATTTGAGTCACATACTGCAGTAAGAGATGCTGCCAAGATGTGTATCCCCACCATAGGTATTGTGGACACTAATGCTGACCCTCGCCTCATTACCTACCCTATCCCAGGCAATGACGACTCTCCTGTTGCTATTGAACTTTATTTGCGTCTTTTTAAGAGGGCGATTTTGATTGGTAAGAACAGAAGAAAGAAAGATGAAGAAAGTTTGGAATAATTTAAAATAAAATTTAAAATAAAAAAAAAAAATTTCCTTTTTTTTTTTTTTTTGTTATATAGAAAAATATCCCATGACTTTTTAGATGTTAACATTATTGTATTAAGAAATACAAAGAACACAAAATTATGAAATGTAATTTTTTTATTTTATAAAATAAAAGTACAAAATTCTCTCTCAAGCCACAAGGTATCCTCTGAAATGAAAAAAGAAATGAAATTTAACATTTAAAATTCAAGCCAAAGACAATACTGACCAACATATTTATAATTCTTTAACAATTGTGAAGGTGAAAATACAAAAGCAATTCTAGCAAATTTGAAGTTAATTAATGACCTTTCACATAAAGATTAACTGGAATTTGTCTGGATAAAATAAGTCTCAATAGAAGTAAACCTGTGTCCTAAGAAAATATTGAAAATGACGTTATAGCTAAACAGGTGCAACTTTTCTTTTCTTTAAATCATTGCAAGGCAATAAAGCCACTGAGATACAAGAGGTTACCGAGTGTGGAAGAATATGAGTAAAAAAAAAAACATAACTGACATTGCATCTTAACTATAGACAAATCAACTGAGAACATGGCAAGAATTTCTATAGTTCTGTTCCATTGTAATTGTTACATTTGTAAATTAAAAACAAAAAATAATTTAATTCAGTGTTAGAAACAATTTTTCGGAAACATTTAAAATAGTATCAGGGTTCCATTTAATGAAATATATATATATTTCAATATAGATTGTCAACTCTTTCTACAACATACTTTCTTCTATAAGCAAGGTCTTTTTTGTAACTAGCAACTATTATGGTGGCATACATCAAGTTTACATGTGTTCTTCAATTTCTACATATGGTTGATATGACCAGCTTTATATATATATATATAAAAAACAGCAGATGTTATTTTTCTCAAAGACCATTCACGTTATTTAAAAAAAAATTAAAGTTTAAATATAACACAAAATTGTCTTTAGGAAATATAAATCTTTAATAAGTATAACCATCTATTATAGGGCAGGTGTAGTAGCATAATTTTCTTTCATTTCTATATTTAGGTCATACATTTTATAAAACTTTTTCTTCACCACGTATATTAAATGTACATTAAGACTATGAAATCTGATTTCTGTAAAGCGTAATTAAAACAGAAAAGATAATTAATTAATACTTACGGCAATTTCATTCTCATAAAGACTCTGCACATGAAGAAAGAAATGAGAATGGTAATGAAGGATACACAAAACAAAAGCACTCTGTTGAGACGAGGCAGGCTGGGTTTATTTGTTTGGTCAAGAATGACAAATCCAAGACCCCCAAGAGTGAACAGGAAGCTAGATGCTAAACCCTCCATAATGTATTGACCATTCACCCTGTATGGCATGAAAGCCACCTGGAGAGAGAGAGAGAAGAATGAAAAATAAATAATTAATTTACATTATACAAAAAGTGACATTTAAATATTATCTGTAAAAAGTTAATTATTTTCCCATACTAAACAAAAAAAACAAAAAAAAAGTCACACAGCTGATTCACTCACATTAAACCATTTTCCTTCCTCTTGTCTCAAAGAAGTTTCAAGACTCATGACTTAAGAGCTTTAAATTTTCATTTTTACTAACAGGGATGACAGTTTGTTAATCCAATAGATATAAAATCAAAAAATATTAAATTTCTTAGGTACAACATTCAACCTAAGCAAGGAACCTTCAAACCCAACATACATTAACAAAAATTCTACACCCCCCCACAATGTATTTAATCAAATAGCCATATCTATAAATAAATGAATTTTAACAAATTCTAATAGCCTAAAAATATTCAATGAAATTAAAAAAAGACATTAATCAGCCCCAAGAAACAGCGAAAATAATTCAAACAAAAACAACAGAAAAAGAAATATAATTTGGTTCACTTCTCACCCACAACAATAAAAATAAAAATAGGGAACATATTCTTCAAAATAACTGACAAACATTTCCCTAAATAGCAAATTATCAATAAAAATACAAAGTTACAGCTTTAGTTAATAAACTAAGCATAATAAATAAAAAAAAAAATTCTCAGCAAAACCAATGACATAGAACAAAATAACACCATTAAATGTAACTACAGAAACAAAGAAAATTGCAAACTTAACAAATGCTTAACCAAAAATTTTTAAAAGAAAGATATAATCACAATTATGTCATTTGAAACAAAAAATACACAAACAATACAACCCTATCAAAATACATATGGAGCCAAAAAGAAAACAATATTCCTACCAAAATCAAATGGGAAATTATAAAAATTGTAAATTATGCATAAAAGAAAAATTAGCAATAATTAGTTTTAAAAACTAAAACAAACTTTTAAACAAGAAAACGGAAATAATGGGTAAATGTAGGCATATAAATGTTTATTTCGACATCTAAGCACTAACTAAAAATAAACAAATAAATACAAAATAAAATTAATTAATAAACATATTAAAGTATGCACCTACATCCGTGTATGTACAGACAAACACCAAAAAATGAACAAACCTAACCCACCATAATTAATACCTCAATATATAACACCAAGGCAAAAACAAACTACTAACCATTAAATAAATGATAACACGATATAAGCATATACTACTTATTACTTACATGTGTGCGCTACATATATACACACACATACATGTATTTAAAAAATTACATATCTTCAACATTTATGCACTACTCTTGTTAACAATGCACAGACTGAAGTATACATGTACATTTGTGTGTGTATATGTACACATGCCTATATACGTTCACAAATAGATGTGCATTAATTACAGACATATGCACATAAATTCTGACAATATTCCAAATCTAACCTGCTACAATACATATATCATCAAACCGAATCAAAAAATGAAATAATAACCCAGTGAACATATGTGTGTGCATGTATAAGTATTTACCATCTAAGCATTAACATCATTGGTATTATATATATATATATATATATATATATATAAAATATTTATTGCCTAAGCATTAATACCAATTATTTATGTAGAAACATAAATATACAAAATACAACTTCCCTGGTAAAAAAAAAAAAAAATACCCATAAGCAAATAACTAAAAATAAGTCACATGTCTAGAGCCAGATCAAAACCAGACCCAGTCAGCTCTAGATAAAAAAAAACAAAGAAATAGGACAACATGATTATGGTGAGTGGACAAGCACACACACGAATACAAAATAAAATTTACACTAGTGCTAAATGTGTATAAAAAGAAAACATTGAAAAAAAATATAAGCAGTAAATTGCTGATACCCACTGAAGAGTGGACAAACAAGTCTGTCTACAAATCTCTGGAGTCGGGATGCTGAAGGGAACATCAACCAGCTAAGTGACAAATTTTACTCACATTAATCATACTTTTATTATAAAAGATTATAATAAAAACATTTTTAAATCGCTACACAAAAGCTTTCATGTTTCAATACTTTGATTGTACTTCTTCATGTGATGGTAAGTAACTGGTGATTTTATTATAATCTCTTATAATAATGATATATTGCTCTACAAACAGTGGAATTTTATTGCATCTGTTCTTTCTTTCATATGGAGATATATATTTTGAGTGAATATTTTGCTACAGAATAATTTATTGCGTTCCCATCATGGGAAACCATATATAAATTTTTATACAATGTGCAGCAGTAATGTCTTCCATATAATAGTAAGACATGAGCCAGATGAAGACACCATTGCCACTAATGTCTTACCATTATGTGGAAAGTATTTCTGTTACACCCCTGATGTCAATAACTATTAAGGAATAAACTATGACAAAGTAGAAAAAGGTTTTCTTTAGGACTTCATTGGACTAAAATGATGTCATAGTTTATTCGCATTATACGACGAGGATGATCATATTATAAAGGAAACTCCTACCAATCTCTAACGTCATGACATAAAGCAGCTGTGAACCAAACAGATAACATGGTTTTGAAATGTTAAAACTGAGTTTTCTTGGTGTAAATGTAATAATTAAACAAGTGTTTGACACATTTGACTCTTGAGACAAAGTTTTCTTAAAACAAAAACCTAAAAAAAAGAAAACATCCATACGAGTCATAATGCCAAACACAACTGATAATTCAAATATACAGCAAAAACTTAGAAATTGATTGTGTCTTATAAATTTTGAAAATTTGGCACATTTGTAGAAAAAGAAAATTGGTTTATTTGCTCAATCCTCAAAAATCAAACAAAATTACATGGAGTATTTGCAGAATTGGCTTTGTGGTTAGAACATAAAACTGACAGAACTAGAATCCTCCACCCACAAATGTTGGCTTAGTAAGGTTCATTATAATGGGAAAAAGTACAGCATTTCATAATATTGTAGCCATATTATATACACCACAACAGTAAAACTGACTCATTGTTTTCTCTGGTTGTAAAAAAAAAATAAAAAGTCATTCTCAAACTAAGGTTTTTTTCAGTTACAATTTGAGTCAGCATTTCACTTTGTGACTTCCAATAAAAGAACAAAACATCTCTAGATATACTATCAAGAAGTCTGTCAATTAATTAGGTATGTTCAGTCTTAACTGTGAAAGAAGATTGCTGTTAGGAAGCAATTTGTCTCTACAAGTACAAGGATTTTCACTTAATCTCTGATAAGTTAGGGTTTTCCTTGCTTCCAGATGGGCAGCAAAGTTGCCTCAAAAGATCAAATGAAAAATTCAAAGACTGCCAACAAGAAAGATGTAATGACATTATAATGGTGCTTCACTTCTCATGGTCTTGGACCAACTATTTTGAAAGAAATTCTGAAAAAGCATTTCATTCTTTTAAACAAACGGCTTTTTCTTCCCAATTTAGCAATATATTAATTTGGCTGAAACAATCAAACATTTTTCAAATATTTTGAAATGCAGACTTTCCTTTGTCTCTAGATTTTAAATCTGAAGAGAATTTGTGAGAAATATTCAAGGCCAAGTATTTTCAGCCACACAAATTCATTACT